TCGGCTCACGTTGCGCCGCCTGCGCAGCTCGCCTTCCTCTTCTTCCCATCCTGGGAAAGAAGTAGTCGACCTCTTCCAAATTCTCGACGAAAGAATTTGTCACCCGTGGCGGGCGCGGTGCGGCGCTCGTTTGCCGAGGGCATTGGTTGCGCTTCCCTTGAAGCCGCGGATGTGCTATCCGAAGTTTCATCGCGTGCAGAGACGAAGAAGGGCTCTGCTCCCGGGCGCTCTCGGAACCGGCGAGGCTGGGTGATAAACATAGGGCTCATTGAGCAGAGAATGTGCAAAGAATGTCCTTGAGACGTAGAAGTGTCCTAGAAATGCGAGCCTCGTACGACACGACAGCATAATGTGAAATGTTCTCACCGTACGGTGCTGTAAAATTTACGGGTAAAGTGCGAAAAAACTGTTACACTGCCTACTCTGATATGCGATACTCGTATATCCGATATCCTCCGATATCCGATTAAAAAAACCAAAATTAAAAGCGTAATATGGGTGATAACCGATATATATGCGCAAAAAAGTGTATTGATATCAGATATTTCCCACTAACCGATGCCTACCCTCATTCCCGAGGGTATCGGTTATCAGAGTAGGCAGTGTACTTTTGAAAATAATGACCTAGGTAGTCCTTAAGGCTGTGTGACTTACCTCACCATCTCCGACAAAACTCCTATCGAGCTGTTGGAACCACTTCTAGAAGATGTGTGGAAGAGACTGCAAGCCAGTGACGTCACCATATACTGTGATGTTTGTTAGTATATAAGTAAAATCATTAATTAATTTCGAGCCAAACTCGAGTTTATAGTGTTAAGAGTTTATATAATAATAAACATTGTATATACTGTGATGAAAGTTAGTATATGAAATTGAATGGAACGCTTGGGATGTAATTAGATGTCGGCAGGTTGTATGTCAGCGAAGCGGATTGGTGCAGCGAAATAATGGCAGTGTCAGGCAACATCGATGATGACGAGCCCTGAGGATTTTCGTGCTTAATGGTTATCGAAACGACAAATTCTTAAACTTCTGAAAGGTCGTGAGAGTGATTTGATCATAAAAAAGAGATTCGCAGAAAAGGCATCAGGTTATAGCTGATAAGGACATTGAGTCCCGCCATACCTTCCCGTGTCATGATGTTGTTAATGTCAAAGGCCTACACGCAAAGAGCACTCGATGTCGCTATGAAAACTCGACCGGAAGTCTGAAAACTGTACACGAGCACAGATTGAAAGTGAAGGTAAAAGTGAAAGATGTAGGTAAATCCCATGGAAATGTAAGTGATATATTCGCATTGCTGGGTCTCGCGGCGTTATGCTGGTATTGTCATTACTAGATAATTATAACAAGATGCATTTGAAATTTTCATATCAGATTTCGCTGTTTTTTTCGGACGATTCTTTAGTAATGATATCTCCTACTTCACATAAATCCGAATTTATGCTCTATTCATTTATTAACTCTTCCAATAGCAGCTGATTGATTTCTAGCCCGGATTGCTTGATGTAGACGCAATATTTTCTTTCCAAGGTGTCTTGAATGAGAGCGCCGCCGTTGTTCGTACTCCGCCAATAAACAAGTTTCTACCTCAATGTCATGCGAATGATTGCAGGAAGCTTTACGAGCATTCGAGCATTCCGTTTTACTTCGAATGCCGTTTCTGCGGCAAATTACTTGTCACTGTGTAAACCAGTGACTCGCTCATTTGTTTGTGATGTAGAGATTTTTATCATAAATGTCGATATCTGGCAATTTCCAATACATTTCAGTATATGTACCCTACATAAATTACGCTCTTAAGGTTTTTAGTCTATATGAATGTAATATTAAATATGTATTCTTTGTCATGGGAAATGCTTGGAAATGCGTTCAAATGACTATTGCAAACGAGCTCTTTATTATATGTATCATACGCTCGAAAAGAAACGTCATTTTCCTTTAATGCTCACAAAAAGTCTGGATCGCGCACTTGACGCATCCGTGAAGTCCGTACACATGTGACGTTGCTGTGGGTAATGTTGACCCATATAGCGTAATATGTACTAAATATAACGTGTTCGGGAGTAAATGCATCGCAAATACGTAACGTGCTACAAAAGGTAGTGCAAAGACTGACTGAGCAGCACAACATAAATCTGGTGGTTTCCTGTCTTGTTCAATGATGGACTTAAATCTAGGACTTAGGACTGTAGACTCTCGAAAAAATATTGAATTCGTACGCTCCGTAGCGTAGGCTTGATGTCAACAGTATGTTGGATGAAGCTCGAGTCATCACATGAGCAACTCGACGAGTATGGGCAAATGATGTCAAAGATTAGCACGGCATCTGTACTATTTTTTTGAAGTTAGCGGTTGAGCAGACATTATTATGTGTCGATAGCGAGCGTTATTTTGCTGTCGACGGATGAATTACGAATCCAAATTCGACGGCATTATTGATCCTACTGTGTTGTAACGTGGTTTGAACATTCCAGGCGTAGTCTTGCATTGTAAAAATACCGGGCAAATTGATAAAGTCAAGTATTTGCTTTCAACATAAATATCTTACGAATTATTGTTTTTCACTTCCTAGCACCCATGCTTCAAGTTTCAGACTTCAGAAACTTGATACGGCGCGATCCTTCATTCAGTTATCAAGCGACTACTGCACGCTTAAGTTATGGAAAACATTAGTCAATTCTTCGTTAATGACTGATTCACATTATTAGCATATATTCGTACCCTCGTAGTCCGATGCTTTCACTCAGTGCCATCACAACACTACCGACTGCAACACTACGAACAGCATCAGTGCCATATCGACTAAGCTGGCTCAAGATGAAGTATTACAATGCACTATTTCTTGAGCTTGAGTATTTACTTGCGCAGGTGACGATCAACATGCGCTGATTCTAGCGATTCAACCCCTGGAACTTCTTTAAAGATCTCTTCAATATTGAACTGACGCTTGAAAATTGCATACATCCATTTATACAACAGCTCATGATGAAGATCGGGTTTATCTTTATACCGAATTTCTGCATCCCTAGCCCAATGACAAGTGATCAGCAAAAATTGGGCCCCTAGAGGCTCAATATTCTTTTGATGAACCACCACATTGATCCCGCGATTAAACTGCCGGATCAGTAGCTCGGCTTGTTCGTTGCTCAGCATCCTCCGCAATCTGCGAAGCACCAAAATAGCCTCATCTGGTCCAACTTTATAGAGATAATTGAACAGTGGTATCCAAGGCGAACTTAAGCCATTGTTCATCATCTCAATTACAGTGTCAAACAAATTCGACTCCACTATCAAATTTTTCATTTAATGTGGAGCACCAAACTGGTACCACTGTCTTCGAGCAAGCTCTCGGTAGCCTTGCCTTTGGAAGTAATGTGAAAATGACTTATCTCATTCTCTAACAGTTTCACTCTGCTCGACAAGGAGTTGAGCGTTTCGATGGTAATCATCTCTTGAGCTTTGTTGTACAGATCTATCTCTGTTATCAACTGCTGCACTTTCACCAGTAATGATCGAGAATTTTTGTTATTGGACAGTGATGCAGCACGCGAGGTGATTTGATATTCTTTATGATTGCCCAAAGCCTGTGAAACGAGCAGTTTCAAGTCTTCCAGTGAGATTCTGGAATTCTGAGTCTCCGAAGAAATCGATGTCAGGACCGCATCGATGGTAGTTTCAAAAGATGCGAGAATAACTACCATCAACAGCTGCGCGACACGCCGTAGTCGTAATTTGATCGTCGTATTGAAAGACATGATACAATAAGACACGTGGAGACTGCAAAGAAAAATAAACAATGATAACAAAAGCACACGCGACCATCGTTTCAAGTAATATCTCTTGTGAATCCACCAAGTCACTTTCTATGCGTACGAAAGATTATTCGAAGTATAGCCATGTAGATTAGACGCCAGCAGCTGTAAGTATGGTATGTACAGCAATACATACTGCAGTGCACAAGACCCCTCATAGGTGTGTGTGACATTGAATTTTGCCATCTAATCTATGATGTGCAGCTGCAAAGGAAAAAAACGAATGATAACAAAAGATGCCTTCACTTATTGGACCAAAATCTATTGGCTTTTAAATGAGAAAACGTAAGTATTCACGCAATGACGGTACATATATGGTACTTTACGCTTCCCGTCTCATTAAAATGATGTACGGCAGTGGTTTTGAAGTCATCCTGGAACCTTTCTGATAGATGCGGTATGAAATTAGACTTTGATCTGCACATACATAGAAAGCTGGTGTGATAAGGCTCATCTGTGAAGGCAACTCGCCTTGTTTGCAAGCGGTGTCTGCATCCAACTCATTCGGCTGTTTCTGTGCTTTGATAACCGAAAATCAAAAAGGAAAATTAAATGTGAAATTTTAAAGTATGGACCCGAAACTGTAAGACCTCCATACGAAAGTGTTCTGTCTACGCATTTGTTATATGAACAAACCTTGTGGCTATTCTATGCGTATAAACTTTCTGCAGCGATATGCAAGGCTTTAGCTCCACCAGGCCCGCTTAAATTGACCCACATAAGACGCTTAAACCAGGAGTGGAACCGAGAGCCGATAAATTGAAAACTAAGTTTACTTATAAATTTTGGTCTGTTTTACTATTCATAAAAAGCTTGACCAATCCACAGTTCCCACGGATACATAGCCGCTAAATCTGACAAATACGATCCAGATTTTGGTATTCTCCTTCGTAACTGCCTCTTCAAAAGTAGTATAATGTATGCAGACGCAAATATAATACGATCAAGTGGAAGTAAACTTAATTATCTGAGCTTGTTCTACAACACTGCCCTCGTGTTACGTGACTTTTTTGGTGAAGACGATGGCTATCGGATCACCGTCGACTCAAGCGGGGGCATACCCAACAGCCTTGCGTGTCTTAACGCTGAGGTCAACGTGTCATAACGGTTCAATGTTTGTCATGGCTTAGCGCGAGTCTAGATCCTTGTGCAAAATGTAAAAGTTTGGCCGCCCTGGAGGATAGTATACTGCCACTAAAACCACAGACGATACCACACGTGAACGGGTAAGGCACACCAGCGAATACAAACGGATAGCCGCGGCAATTCATCCAATGGGTTGCGTATTCGTGCAAGATGACATCAGCATCTGCAATTGTCAATATCGTCGTCAATATCTCCAGTGCAACGGCATTGCTAATTAACGTTCTAAGAAAGCTTTAGCTCAAGGGTTTCAATCAACAAATACATAGGAGGATGGTCTTATCGTTCACTCGGAACGACTCTTTTGTATTAATCATCTGGTTTTCTTTTTAATTTAAATAGTGGTTTATATTTGGAACTTAACTCTATTTAGAGGAAAATTAAAAAACTACAACATATCTGTATTGTTCAATGTATGGCCGCTTAGTATTTAGTCTCTTTAGATAACGCTAGATACATTAATGTAACGGAATTACACATGGGGTGTGTGTCACACGAGATGTGGATGGTGTGACCACACTCATACAAGAATACGGTACGTATGCATGTATTTAGATTTTACTATATATAATATATTTAGGAAAATCTAAACTTTTACAATAAGGCGTCATGCAGCCACCGCATAAAGTCTTGACCTCTTGCTTGGCAACAGGTATCTCAGTCGTTGCGCGCTGCGTCTTCGCATACGCGTCCTCATTGGGGTGCCCCATGCGAGCATGCCACAGCTCCCACTGACTCACTGACCCCTTGTACTCGACGAATCGCGAGATAGAAATAAATAAATAATCAGCTTTGGATTTTAAACGGAAGAGCTAATTAGCCTTGGGTAAGGCAGTAACGACTCGTACTTGTTCTATGTATAGAATGAAAGGTCGGTGACATAAATTACGCTTCCTCATGCGCTAAGTGTAACGGGGTTCCATGAGACCGTCACTCTCCCAT